TCTGTCTAATTCGAGAACCCTCCAGATTTTATTAGGTCCTCAGACCCAAAACCCTGCAACCCCAAACCCTAAGCCCTAAACTCTAAACCCTAAACTTGAAACCATAGACCCTCAACCCTACACCCGAGTTCCAGCCAGCAAGCCCTAAGCCTGGACTGGAGGCTGAATTGAGATTCCCCGATTCAATACATGCGTACTTGGGGGGGTCGGGGGGATTTAGGAAGTAGGAAGGGTTTAGGGTTTCGGGTGTACGGTTTACAGTCAGGTGGCGCAAGCAGGTTGATAATGGGGAGGGCTGGGGATATTATCCTAGGGTTGTTCAGTGTATTTCCGAATTCCCGGTTGCAGTGGGGATAATGTAGTCCCCCCACAAAATGAAAGTGTGTTCACCCTTTGGTTGTAGAGTTTATGAAGCAGATATAAGCTTACTGCGCTCGGCCCCAAACTATTCAACTTTATTCGTAGGCGGTTCGCACACTCAGGCGGCTTAGCGTTTAGTATTCAGCAAATGTAGTCCCCTACAGTCCCTTAAAGGATCCCAGAACCCAGGGGCACAACCCTGGGGGTACAAGCCTGAAACCCTTGGTTCCTTTTGGATAGGCAGCCATCCAAGTTCCTGTGCCATGTTCTGGAAGTTCAGTGGAGGCTACCCCCACTCAACTGCAGTTGGATAATATGTTCAAGATATTTAGATACAGTCCCTCGCCACATGACAAGCAAGCTTGCCATGACTCCAGGAAAGACTTGTTCTGTGCCTACGGGATCATTGCGATCCTTAACCCTGAACCCCTGACTCTTAACCCTAAAGCTTCAATTTTTCCGTTGCCCCGTCAGGGGCGGCAAAGCTTCCGAAGCCGGGTGTTGCCCGATAAGATACAGGTTCCGAAGCCGCATGCACCAGACTTAGAATTGCTACAAAGGCTTAGAAAGCATTGTGACATCTCTACCATCCCTATACACCATCACTGTCTACTTCTCACGACATTAACACAACCGTCGAGCAATCGGTTAAGATTCAGGTAAAGAATTCACAAGTAAGCCAGGGAAGCCCCGAGGGTCTTACGAAGTCGGTGGATGTTCTTCCTCCCATGAATGGAGTAGCTTTAGGTTACTTCAAAAACATACTGTCAAGCTTTAAATTGCTGAGCCCAGGTCCTCAAAAACCTTGAATCACAAATGCAATCCCCTGAATTGCAAACCCTATTCCGAATTCCTTGATCTCTAAGTCTGCGGACCTTAGCCCTAACTCATTAGCTCCGGGTTTCCTCAAGAGAGCAGTCTTCTCACAGCTGCGAATACAGAGTAAGATCATGTCCGCGGCTCAAGGGTTTAGGGTTTAGGGGTATGTTATAGTAAGAAGAATACAGCCTTACGTAGTTCAACCACCAAGAAGCACTGCCCACATGCATATGGAACCCTCAAGGGGTGCCTTTAAAGGGCTTCTAGGGTTATGTAGGGATACATTTACATCGTATATATATATATATACATATACATGCACATACGTAGGGCTTTGGAAGCCCCAGCCCCCCTAAATTAAGACCCCAGGATAATCATGTGCTGGTTATAGGGTCCTTTCTGGGTGGGTTGAAAAACCAAAATCCTCTGATTAATATTAAATCCTAAACCCTAAGCCGCTGTATTCTCGAGGGTTTCGAATATAGAGGGTTTCAAGAGGTGGCGGGATGAGCTGGTGGCTGGGAGCGACCTGCAGACCACGTCCATGGAGCGTACCTACAGCCCACACGTCTACAGGCGCAGTTCAGGGGCTTGGAGGTTCTATGGCTTTTTTCATTTCGTTTAGGATGGGTTCGGGAGGGTGGGGATTTGCAGGTTCTTCGATGAAAGGTTGGGGGTGCGAGGGCGCATGGTTTCCTGAATGAGGTTAATGGTCTGCGGTTACATGGAGGTTTGCAATCAGGGGGTGCCTCGTCCAGTCTCCATGGCCCATTTTCAGGGGGCTGTTCACGTTGGTGGTGGTGGTGATGGTGATCGGAACTGAACCGTCATTTTAAACTTTGCATCCATGAGGACTTGATGTTTTGTGTTTCACCGCAACATGTCACAACTGAAAGCTCCGTACCATGACCCTAATTATGATAGATCGCCACAGCGCCGAGCAACATGGCCTCATCCAAAGCGTTAGCTTCTAAGCCCCAAAGCTTTACCACTGCCCTTAGTAGCAGCTTTTAAATAGGGTCAGGACTGTACCACTGACCCTAGTAGTAACAGTGTTTAAATAGGGTTACTACTGTACCACTGCCCTTAGTAATAGTGTTTAAATAGGGTTAATATCACGGTTTTTGTCTTCATATTACAAGTTTTATCGAGCTGTTCTTTTGCGCGGGCACGCCAGTATCCAACCCATCACTCCTTTCCTGGGCTGCTGTTATGAGGAACAAAGAAGTCACCATACAATGGGTATTTACCATAGTAAATCACGGGGTTTCCTTATTCGAATACTTTGAACTAAGTTGCTTTAATAAGGAACCGCTCTGGTTTACTATATACCCATATTCTGGCAACTTCTTATCATAGTGACTCAATTTAAGTTCCCTCAGAAGAGCTTGGAGGCATATGCAGCGGCCGGAGAGCCTTGGCCAGTGAACAAGCACAGCTTTGGATGCATGCTTTTGGCGAGCCCAAACCCTAAACCCTAATTATGACACCCCCTTGAGGAGCCCCTTGTGTAAGGATTGAAGTGTAGTGAGATGCTTTGGAGAACATGCTAGGGACTCCTGGCTTTTGTTTGGGACACTAAACCATAATTCCTGGACCCCAAACGGCGGTTTAGGGTTTAGGGTCCAGGATGTACTTCTTGGTGCTTCGTGGGGAAGAAGGGAATACAAGTCCCATATCCAACCCTAAACCCTAAACCCTAAACAAAGTTTAGGGTTAGGGACGAGGAGTGAAACATTGGACTCCGCAGGTGGAGGTAAGACACTGAGCCTCTATCTGGGTAGGTTTAGGGTTCAGGGTTTAGCTCCTTATCTGGGTGGCATTCTGAGATGTTTTTAATTTGGGCGCTATAAGACCCCCTAAGAGGGCTCATAGAACCGTTTAGGGGTCTATGAGATTTGCAACAGGGGTTTCTAAGATTCTCTCATGGATCCCATTTACAGATAGTGCCCCAAAGTACACCCCGTACATCGTGTGAACCTGAGAACCAACTCAGGAACCCTCGACAGCGAGGGCCTGACGACTTCTACTCACCAGTCAAGCCGCAGGAGTATGTGGACTCGGCCAAGTTTTGGAGTTGGAAGGTTCGGGCTAGAGATGTTTCAGATTTTCTGCCTTGGCGCTGAGGAGTTTTGGGGTTCAAGGCTCAAGAGGGGGGACCAAAGGGTTCTTGTTTGGTGTAGGAGTAGGGGTCTTGTTTGGTGTAGGAGTAGAGTAGAAGCCTCGGTTGTCTTGGTCGGGGTTCCGGGTTAAAGATTTAGGGTGTAGGTCCTACTCATTCAGCTGGACTCAGAACTTTCCCAGCCCCTGTGGCACCCTGCTTAGCGCAGATAGTTTTGGCTGACCGGATGGACTCAGTGGTGGTTAGTAGGGATTGGGAAATGGATCCCTGCAGTAGTCCCATCCTTCTTTCTATAAGCCCTTGTTATAGTCCATTCCCTCATTCCCTAACGAACACCAGTTAGTAGAGAGTTACCCCAACCTCTAGACTAGACAAGGTAGTTCACTTTGCTTTGCTGCCAATGAGGTGAAGCCGGTGTCTTGTGGTTTATGGTTTGCGTCCCGCCCGGGGCATCCCTGGTTTTAGGGTTTTAGGCTTTCTTACTAGGGGTTAGTAGGGAAAAGGGAATATATATATATATATATATTATAGATTATAGAGGGGTTATATGAAGAATATATTCCCTTATTCACCACTAACCACCAGTAAGTTTTTTTTTCTCCGGATTAAGGTTCCTCAATATTGTTCTGCGAGCCTCACAGCTCGTAGGAGTATTTCTTGATAATCTGAGCATGGGCTTTTTTCACCTTACCAGCAGCCTATGAGAACCTGCTTCTTAGGAAGCTGAGCGAGTATAACAAGGGAATGTCGGTTACCCCGACCCCCAAAATAAGGACGTTACAATTCTCATGTGACTCAGATAGGGTCCTTATCTTAGGGCGTGATGGAGCCAAACTCCCCCTACGACCTTTGATTAACCCCAGTTTCCGTCCAATTATCCGTCTTCTTTTTCATTTGTGTTTCCATTACACTAGTTCGTTATATTGGTTCGGGTATCTGAAACCCGCAACCCTTAATACTAACCCCCAAACCCTACCTTTAAATTAATCCCCTGGCCTGAACATGAGTCCGGAGACCCTGGAGACACCCCCCGCACCCATGGCCTTGGCATCTTGAAACCTTATCAAGCAAAACTCATTGCCTGTAACCCCGAACTATGTGAGCCATAATCTAAACTAACTCCTTCAAGGGGGGTTATACCGGGGATTATGTACGGGACCATTATTGGAGATAGTAGCGGGGATACTAGGAGTGTAGACTATGACTGATGTAGAATACTGTTCTTCTTTGCTTTGTTTACGGTTTTGGGCCACTATTTTACCTACATGAAGATCCAGGTAGTTATTTTGCCACTTCATTACTGTCCTAAATATGGGGTGCAGGGCTAAAGACCTAAGACTTCGCAAGTCATAAACTTGTTTCCGAGGCCGTAAAACCTGGATCCAAAAACTCGAGGCCAGTCGCACTGGAAGCACTCTCTGAAGACTCACGAAAACCCTACTAGATCCAGTACGTCGTCATTCAACTAGGTGGCACTCTGGGATAGTTAATCACATTTTCTTATATGAGGAAAACATTCGTGAATGATTCTGGGGGCCTTTAGAGTACCACCCAGTCCAACTTGAGTGACTCTTTGCCCCTCTGTTCCTTTCATGTTACGAAACCCCTACACGGCCTAGGGCCTGGGGTTTAGGGTTTAGAGCCCGGGGTTTACGGTTGTGTTCTTTTTTTTCGAGGCCAATTCATGCGTTGAATCGAGGTGGAGCTCCGTTTGCTTCCAGCCGTCGACTTCTTCCGGGGTCGTATCCCCCGCGCCACCACCACCCGCTTCGTGCTGCAGATACTGGTGGGGCTTCTCCAAAGAAAAGAGTGGTCTTTGCATAACGCGGGAAAAGAGAACCCTACAGCCTGAACCCTGAACCCTAAAGAGCAAAAGCAAGAGGAGCATGTTGTGGCTTTAATTCTGTTCCTGGCTTGGGGGGTTGCGTTCTAGGTTCAGAGACCGTGCCCCTTACACCTTTTGAGGTACGAAGTCCCCCAATGATTGGAAACCCTCAGGCCTAACCAAACCCTCAGCCCTAAACAACCTTAAAACCCCAAACCATTTTGGCGCAGACCCCAGGTGATCTTGTGCTCAGCCATCAGCGCCGTCCTCACCCAAGTAGGTGGGCAGCCTCAATCCTGAACCGTAATCCCCAGAATCAGGATTGAGGGTTAGGTTTTAGGGTTTAGGGAAACCCTAAACCCTACAGTCTATTTTGCTCGCTTGAAATCATCACATTTTTTTAGTATTTGAAAAGGATTCACAACACCCCCGATGTGATGTTTGTTGGGGCCATATAGGGAACCCTGTGAATCCCAAGTCCAAAACCCTTTAGTCGAAGCCAGAAAGCCGAATCATCGGTATCTCCTCCGAGCAAAACCAAGAGTGAAGGGTGCCCTGAACCCTAAACCCTAAACCCTAAACCCCACACCCCAAACCCGAACCCTAAACCCATGAATCATCCTGTTTTCGTGTTCCATGTGTTTGGCAAAGACTCGTAAAAACTGCTGAGCTTGGAGAGAGCCGGGCTCGGGTATTCACAGTTCTGTGAAGGCTGAAGTTAGGGTTTAGGGTTGAGTGTTCAGGAATGTAGGGTTTAGTCCTGAGGCCGACCAAAGAAGTAGCCTGAGTACTTGGGAAGGGTATCCCCTTCAATCAAGTTCCTGTAGATTCCTGAAAGCCTTGTTGCGATTATATAGGCCCCCACATCCTGAGCCTGAGAAACTTAGCCCACGAGCCTTCCACCTAGGAGCTCAAGCTGTGGGGTTAAGGGCGTAGGCTTCGGCTTAGAGTTTAGAGTTTAGAGTATAGAGTTTAGAGTGCTTTCTGAATTCAGCATGGAAACTTCTTTAAGGAAATTTGTTTGGGGTTGTATGGGACTGTAGACATTATTGACGGGCATGAGGAAGGCATGTAGACGAACACTGCGAGTGTCGCGCCTCAAGCCCCAGCAGTCAAGAACAGCCGTAGACCCCCCCAAACCCCAAGCCCTTACCCCTGCCAATCCTGATAATGCTTCTGTGTTTGTGGTAGACCTTAACCCCCAAACAGTAATCTAGGTTGACGAGCTCCAGTTTCCACTTCATCCTCTGTCTAGATTTCTATGTGATTCGCCACTAGGCGGCCCATAAGGAAGCCTGATCAGTTTGGAACAGTGTGCCTCTGTAGCCCCTCTATTATATAATCGCAGTAGAACATTTCCCCAACCTTTAACCAACTTATACAAGCTCTAAACCCAAAGCAAAATACCTAAACCCTGAGTCCACTTAGGCTCGTAGTAGCCAGGTGGTCAAGCTTCATCCTTGGTTGCCGTGGTATCCGTATTTGCGGGGTCGATCACATCGTGGCTGGAGTTCGTGGATTTGGGGCAAAAGGTGGAGCGCTACAATGGAACTGTGCCCTGGTTATGAGTTTCATTTTGAAGCCGAAGAAATTCAAGAAAAAGGCTAGCAAAGGCAAAGAGGGAATTCGAATACGAGGCCGTGGATGATGATGTGCGGTTTTCCTTCGTGTGTGACCCTTGGAGCCTAGGTGCGCGAGATCAAAAACCTACTCTCGTGGTGGAGGACGCTTGATGGAGTGGAGAAGGCTAGCATCGACAACATCCAACATCTCGTGCACACAGGTAACTGGGATGCCTGTGCTGTTGTCAAGCCCAGACACAACAAAAAATCTGCATGACTTGTACTGTAGCACCAGAATTCCCAAAGTATGAAGTACTGAGGGCCACACAGTAGTGCAAGTATCAGCTATAGCTAAGCACTTCTAACTGGGTAGGCCCCTGGGATATTTTGATATTTTCCCCAGCTTTCATAGGGGACCCTATATACGAATATTGAAATCTTATACCCGGCTAAATCCTGAATCTCAGGCGAGGCTATCCTAACCGGCGAGCTCCGCGCTTGGTGCCAAGCAGGCGTGTCAAAGGAAAAGAGGGACAGAGATCAGGGGCCCAGTGACGATGAGGCTCGGACCTGGTAAAGGGTTTCGGGTTTAGGATTTAGGGTCTAGGGGTGAGGGTTTAGGTTAGGGTGTAGAGTTTATTGGATTAGAGTTTAGGATTCAGGGTTTGGGTGTAGTGCTTGGGCGTTTGGATGAGGAGTCGGGTTTGGGTCCAGGGTGTAGGGCTTGGGTTTAGGAATTAGGGTGCAGGATTTATGGCTAAGGGTTTATAACATGCAGTCTGGCAAAGTGGGGTCCCATTGCCAAAAGGTCCTCGAAGTCTGTGACCTGTTTTTTGCTGTTGGGTTTCTCACTGCTTGGATATTCAGGGTTATTACATCCGAGTTATAACTGATACTTATACAGCAATTATAACCATTTTCGGGGACTCGAGGGCTCATAAGTTGGGTATACGTACAGGTATAATTGGGTTAAGGGGTCTGTTTGCACTGGGCATGGGTTGAAGTTCTGGTTTTTACGTGCGCAAATGGGTCCCCCAAACATAGATGCCCTATAGTCGAATCCTTAACATGGGCCTTGAATCTTTGAAAGTCTAAAGACCTACATATCCGTATATGCTCGCCTATATGCCACTAGATATCACCATACTTCTCTAAAGCTTCCTACGAGGCTTGTGGTCGAGGCTTTGCGGTGTAAGCCGTTTCGTTTTGGGTTGAGGGTGGAAGGTTTAAGGCTGTGGGTTTAGGACGAATGGTAAGGTTTAGGGTTTATGGTGTCAGGTTGCCGCTCAAGTGTTCAAGGCCTATGGCTATCCCTTTAAGGGCTAGGGTTAACGGTTTAAGATGTAAGGTTCAAGGAAACGGATTTAAGGTTTAGTTTGCATGGTGTAGGGTTTAGGGTTTATGGTTGAGGCTTCAGGGTTAAGGGCTTAATTTTCAGGGCCTGCTGTTTAGGGTCTGGGGTTACGGGTTCATGGTTTAGGGTTGATGGTTTAGTTTTCGGTTTTGGGGTTTAGGGTAAATTCAAACCAAGAATACTGAACCGTCACCCCCCCAGTTCGTGAACCTCAAGCCCAATGCAGCGGGCTGCGGCCAAGGAAGACGACTCGGGGCGCTTGATCATGAACGCCCAGCGGTAATGTAGAAGCCTGAATAACTAGACCCTCTGTAGTCCTGTTTAGCTCCAGTGACCCTAGTGTAACTGACGTCACGTTCTTTCCCATGCCGTTTTAGTCCTCACATTGTGATGGTCAAACATGCTCCGAAACCCCTAATCCTCAATTTCAGGCTTCTGCATTCAATTAGGCTTCGTCAGATCAGGCCTGCCTCTGATCTCCTTGGTTGCTTAAGCAGACGTTTTGGGTCACTTAGGGTAAGCGACAAGTATGTCGGCTTTCTGAAGGAACCCTACGCAAGGTAAAGGGGTTTGTTTGACAGGCAGGCAGGGCAGATAGGTGAGCAACTACGTACTGTTTCTCAGGCAACGATTTTGGAAGGAGGTCGTCTTCTTCAAAAGAGCAACCAACATTTTTGGACTAGCAAACCGAGATGTCGTCTCGGAACCGGCGTCCCCAAATAGGACGATCCTCTCAAAGAGGATACCCAAAACGGGGCCCTTTTCTTTCGGGATGCGAAGCCCCCAAAGTTTCACACATGACATGAACAAAGTGCTCATGTTCCGGATGACTGGTGATTCAGCATGTACCGCCTGGCTGTACAACAAGGAAGGATCGTGCGTTGAGGGCAAGATGCACAAAAGCTGTAAAGCCTAAACCCTAAACCCTAAATGCAGAGTCGGGAGTTGACAATATCCTGGGCTACCCAGTGAAGCCCCCCAGGTTCCTAGCGAGACCCACCTGATATCCCCAAAAGGGGGCCGTTTTTCCCCGCAGGTTACTGGGGATCCCGGTCTCCATGTGAAATACCTGAAGTTGGTTCGGGTCAGTTTGTACCCATTAGGGTAATATTAGCGTCATATCGAGGTTATATTGGGATATTACGGTCTGGATTTTGGATTTTGGGTTTAGGGGTTTCTTGTTAACGCTATGCCAGCGGTAGACCTCAGGTAGTGCCGAAACCTTAAACCCTAAACTGGGTTTCTGGTAAGGAGCTCCAATTAAGTTATATACCATAAAATGGGTATATTGTACGTACATGATAGGCGTTCATTATGATAGTGACTTAAAATGAGTTCCTTAACAGCAACCAGGTAAACTTTGAACCGAACAATGGTACAACGATTCAGCCACAAACGCTTCTCACATGATCTGGACACGTCATCCCTATACAGGCTTCGTTTATGCGCACATATCTTCGGTTGGGCCCCACCCACTAATAGTAGTATACTAGGAATATGTAAGGACCTTAATATACTTACCATTACCTCTTGTGGTCACTATTAGTGGATGTGGATGGGGGCCCAACCTAACACATATAGCTCATTCCTGACAACGCTACTCTCGGACAGTTTGGAGACAGTAAATGCCACCAATTCTTCCTTGTAGTCCTCCCTACACCCTAAACCTTTCCACTGCGCCACAAGAAGAGCTTTAAGTTCCGTTCTTGTTATTCAGACTCGTGCACCATCGCTACCATGAAGTTTTCTGGAATCCAACGCATGCCGGGTACAACCCGTGGAGTTCAAGCCTCAGCCCTAAACCGTCAACCATTAAGTCCCAGACCATGAAATCCCTCAAACTTAAACCCTGACACCCTAAACATGTGATCCCAAGTTACAACAGGCCAAGGTGCCTCTCTTGCTGTTGAATAGGGGCCATTTTGGGCCTCTCCCTGGCACGATCCTAAACCCCGCTATTATTTTTGTGGTCATCATTATTACTACTACTAGTACGAGTATATTGGTACTAGTACTAGGTACAACAACAACAACAACTACTACTACTACTACTACTGCTACCACCACCACCACTACTACCACCGCCATGAGTATTACTAGTTATAGTGGCTTCAATGGGTACCTCTAAGTCTCCAAATACAAGAAAGGTTTTGAATACCCGTAGGCCTTTGAATGGTTTAATACACATATTGCCCCCTAGCATCACCCCACTGTGTTACGCAAATCTATATCGCCTTTCAAGAGGAACCCCCCGTTTACCATATTACACCCTTTCTGTGAGAATCCCCCACATGGAAACCTTAAGCCCCAAACCATGAACCTTAAACCCTAAACTCCACCCCCCAAGCCCTAAAGCCCTATACCCTAAACCCTTAATCCTGAACCTTTAACCCTAAATCCTAAATTGAGGAGGCGGACTCCTGGTGCAGTCGGCAGCTCCACGGCGCTCTCGTCGTCTCTTACCTCTCCACGCAGGCCGCAACCTGAACACTGTTGAGGCGTCACTTAAAAGGTTTAGGGGTTTATAGTTTAAGGTTGGGGGCTTGGGGTTAGGGGTTTAGGGGTTTAGGGATGTAGGGTTTATGGTTTAGGGTGTCTTTCTGTATGTTCAGATGTTGGGTTTTCTGAGCACAGGGTTATGTTCAGAGGTTAAAGAGCGTATAAAACTCATTCAACACTTCTCCATGTAGGCTGGAATGGAGAGCGGTGGAGACAATGTTCTGCATTGGATTTACCCCGCTAATCAAATGGAAAAGAATATGAGACATGAAACGAAGACTAAGGCTATTCAGGGCTTTCGAGGGATACTCACCAATTTTATGGTTTTGGAACTGTTGCACATTTGTGGTAGATGGGCTGAAACTATGCCGCAGGGTTTAAGCGGCTTCGGTCGGGTTCTGGTGTAAGTTTTAGGGACCTCGCTGTAGGGTTTGGGTTTAGTGTCTAGGGGCATAGGGTCTCGATGTCTGTGCTCAACACGTTCTCAGCGCTGACAAAAAATAGTCTACCCTAGCCCTAGCATTTTCAACGTCAGCATCCTGTCTCTTGCCTGAAAGCCAGACAATCCTTTCTCCTGACGCTCTGGTTCCTGAATCGCTAGGTGCTCAAACCAGTCTTAGATCAAGGAGTAGCCAAGACCAACATGCAATGTTGAATCTTGGGCTCGCCTTAACTCCCAAGTCCCAAAGCGCAGCTTCAGCTCAGCGAAGCAGGCGATGTGGCTATTCATCAGTTCGACCTTCCCGTGTCGCCGAAGATGACTCCGGGCATCTAGGTTGAGGTGGCGAAAAGCATTTGGGAGTTCAGCGCGTGAGTTTTGATGTGTTTTCTAAATGACATTCTGAAGAAAACAAGGCTGAAGGCTTTTGGCATCTGGATGAGTGTGTGACAAGTTATCACCGTTAGGATCCCTGCTTGCTAGCAACCCCATCGTCCTTTGTTCCCATGGGCACCTCCTTTTGGGGGGGCACCCCGCACTGGTCACTAGTCCCACCTCTCTGCGATTCAGACACTTTGTTTCTTGAAGCCCAAGCCCTAATCCCTATACTCACAACTGGAACCCGTACTCCGCGCTTGAGACTCTACACCCCAAACCCTAAAGCCTCTACCCGAGTCGACTTTGCCACTGTTGTGCGGCGTCTTCGTTTCCCAAGTAGGGGTTAGCCTTGCCAAAGGAAGGGGATTCAGTGTCTGTATCCCAAGCAGGGACTGACACGCTCACAGTTTCGGCGTAAGGGCTTCAAAGTTTCCGAATCCGGTGTTCACAGTTCTTGCGTCAGGCGTGGAAAGCTTCAAATAAGGAAGTTTGGCTGCCCAAGAAGGCTGTTTTCTGAATCAGGTTGGTTTCCGAATCAGGCGGCAAAGTTTCTAAATCCAAGCTTCCAAAGTAAACCTTGAACCCAAAACCCTACACCACATTGTTCTGGCTCTACCGTCAAGGCACTGCTTACTTGGAGGTGCAGTTCAAGGACCTGCAAGACATGCTCGGGGGGTTCGGGCCGATTAGGCTTCATGGACCTGAAGCTCTACAGCCTTGAGTTTTAGGGTTTAGGGCTTAGGGCTTAATGTTGAGGGGTTTAGGAGTTTTTAGTACAAGGCGCAACTGCTTGAGCAGATCATTTAAACAGTGCCGGCATGGAGGACTTAGAAATTACGCCACCGGTACAAATACCTTCAAGCTAGCCCAAGTCCAAGTCTGCCACGAAGAGGTTACCGATGCCTTGTATGTAGTGGCATTACATGGAGAAAGCTCATAGAAGATTCAGTATTTGGGGGGATTGCTCAGAAGCACCATGGAGCCGCCAAACCCCATTTTCAGGGACAGGTCGTCTAAATCCCTTTTGGCAGTAAGCCAAGCTTTGATACAAAACGGATCTAGGAAACTGGTGACCGGTCTTTGTGTCATTTCTGGGCGTCGGGGTCCAGGGATTAACGTTCAGGATGTAGGGTTTATGTAGGGCCATAGTAGGGTTTGGGGGTCCCCTTATACACAACGGGATGTAGGGATTGTCTTATAGGTTGATTGTATGTACATTTTCATGAGAGTCCGTTTTCGGCCACGTTTCCTCCGGCCATGTCTACGTGCGCGAGCTCAAAGCATTTCCATCATATCTTAGATGACGTAGGTCATAGTCCTACAACGTCTTAACAGACAGGCCTAGAGAAAGGAACATGTTCAAGAATTTTGGGCGGGGAAGGGTGCGCAGCATCAGGAGAAGGAAGTAACCGTGTTGATGACACCAAGACCAAAACCCTCAAACCGTAAACCTTAAACCCAAAACTTAAACACCATCAACCCTTGTATCTCCTTTATAGCCGTGTTTATCCATATACACCTTGAAGACCCATATGGATCAAGGCTTCAAGGTTTGCACCCCTAGGGTCGTACTTTTGAAATGTTCCCGCCAGATTATGGCCCTCATATGACCGTTATATGAACCCATGCCATAGGATTTAGGGATTTGGGTGGTCCATGTAGCGCACTAGGGTTCTGTAGAGGCATAGGGGGAATACCCTAAACCGCACAACCCTGAAACCCTTGAGTTAAAGAGATCTGGGGGGTGTAGAATACCCCCCAGACCCCACACGCTAAACCCTACATCTTTATTTGTTTCTATACACCCCTATAAACCCCTACATATCCAAGCATATCCTACATACGCTTCAAACCCTAAAGCGCCAATAAGACAAGGAAACCCTATATCCTTATATAACCCCCACATCAACATGTGGTAGTTTCCATTGTTCCATTCCGCTATATACTCCTAAACGGCCCCCACATAA